AATGGGCGGTGCTACCGCTGGAGCGCTGGGAACGCGGAGGGGCTCGGGGCTGATGGCCGCGGAGCGGGGTCCCACTGGCGTTGGGGACGCGGGAGGGGGGGGGGGGCGGGGGGAGGTGGGTGTGCGACGCGAAATAAAGCGTTCGTGGCGGAGGGGGCAATGGGCGGAGCTCCCACTGGTGCGCTGGGGGCGCGGGGGGGTTCGGGGCAGAAGGCCGCGGAGCGGGGGTCCCACTGTGGCGCTGGGGACGCGGGGGGGGGGAGGGAGGGAGGTGTGCGACGCTGAATAAAGCGTTCGTGGCGGAGGGGGCAATTGGCGGGGGTTCCACTGGGGCGCTGGGGACGCGGGGGGGCTCGGGGCAGAGGGCCGCGGAGCGGGGGTCCCACTGTGGCGCTGGGGACGCGGGGGGAGGGGCGGGGGAAGGTGGGTGTGCGACGCGGAATACAGTGGTCGGACTCGAGGCACGCTGTGTAAGAACAAAATACGTGCATATCTATACACGTATGTATATATATACCCAAAACAACACGCGAACCCCAGGTGTGATGGGGAGGTGTTAATGTTTTGTAATATGGCGAATGCACAGTGTGAAATATACGTGGCGCAGTCTATGTTGCGCAATGTGCGTGGTGCAAGAAATGTGGTGCAACCTACGTGGTGAGACTGGTGTTGCCAATTCGAAATGCGATATATGTTGCGCAAAATTTTGCACAGTGCGCGTGGTGGGATCCACGCGGTGTAGCGTGCGTGTGTGCAATATAGTTGGTGAGATATGTGGTGTGCAACGTGCGTTGTGCATTCAACGTTGTACAATATATACATATATATACACATATACATATGTACAGCACATGCATGTACATATACATTTACATGTACATATGCATATGCATATAATTTTACATATACATATGCACATAAATAAACAGTGGCATGTACATATACCTATGCATATGCATATACATATACATAAGCATATGCATATACATATACCTATACATATACATATACATATACATATACATATACATATACATATACACATACATATACATATACGCATGCACATACATATACATATACGTATACATATCCATATACATATACATATACCTATAAATGTGCATATACAAATGCATATGCATATAGATATACATATACAGATACATATACACATACATATACATAATTACACATATACATGTACGTATACATATACATATACATATACATATACATATACACATTCACATACATATACACATACACATGCACATACCTACACGTATACATTTATATCTGTATATACATGTACATATACATATACAAATAAATATACATATATCTATACATGTACATACATACATATATATATGGTGTGCACACTACGTGGTGCAACGCGGGCCATGCATGCGATGCAGCACACAAAATACACGAAATGCATACGTATATATCTGCGGCGCCAAACTGCCGCACTGCCTATATGGCGCAAAAGATGTGATGCCATATGTGCGGTGCTACCTACGTGGCGCAGTATACGCGGTGCAATTAATTACAGTTCGCTAACTCGTGTGCTCTCACCACACCCACCCACCCGCAATTTGGTTCGCAAAACCGATGATGCGGCAATTGTGATGCCTGCCTGGCGTTGGTTGTCGTATCAATGCGGCCGTGCTAACGCACGCAAGCTCGCTCGCAAAACAGCCAGCTAATCTGGCGCGAACGACGCGGACGCGGTGGCACTGACCGCTGAGGACATCCCAACGCGTAGCATAAGCCGCGCTGACGCGCGGGCACTTCAGTGCGAGTCGGAGATTCGGGCGGGCGCGGTATATGGCGACGTCGACAACAGCAGACACACTGACGATTGCAGCGATGCGAGTGACGACGATGGCGATGACGACGACAAGGCACATGACGGCGCCGATGCAAAACATGCAGATGGCGATGATGGTGTCCACGCGTCGGCCATGAAGGTTATGTAATGATTTCGACATGCGCGAGCGGCCGACGGGCGCGAGTGGCCCGCATGATATTAGTTGAAAGGGATCGTGCCCCCCCAGCGCGCGCGCAAGGGCGTTCGAATGACTGCGACATGCGCACGACAAGCCCGTTTGATGACATGTGATGCAACGTTTGCAGAGAGGGAGTGGGGAGGAAAAAACTATGGTTTCCGTCAGAATTCGCAAAAGCACGCGCGCAGAACTGTGTTTCACGAGCACAGGCGTTGTAAAACCATGTGTTCTACATGTTTCCAGACGCTCGAGATTGCATGCCGTACGAAACCTAGCAGTTACGTTAACAGTTTCTGGCATGCGCGAGCGGCGACGCGCGTGCGTGTGCACATCGTCGAGTTGTTGTGGAAGGGGTGTTTGAAAATGGTCGCTGTGTTAACTGAATGTGCGCGCATGAAGAAGATGGTGGAGGGGGGTCGATACCGTGTGTGTGGGATGGTACGGGTCCAAATTTAGAATGAACGATAGGGCAGAATCGCATGCGAACTGCACATGCACTGGGCGGGGGGGGGGGGGGGGGAAATCCCGAGAGGGGGGGGCAGATCTGAAGTCCTCCCCCCGAGAGGAGACGATATGCGGGCGGTGAAGCGGCGAGACTGCGACCCCGGCGCCGCCAGGCCGACGCCCAGGCCCAGACCACGGGCGGCGACGAAGCACCGACGGGGCGTAGACGGCGACCGCGAAACCGCCAGACCGACCCCCAGGCCCAGACGACGGGACGCGACGAGGAAACGGCGGGGCGGCGACGGCGACTATTGACGAACGAACAACACACACACACACCCATACCCATAGGGGGAACGTTGAGAGGAGGACTGGCTATGGGTATGGGTGCGGGTTGTCGGATCCTGGGGGGCGCTTCCTTTCGAGCGGGGACCCCCATCCGACAACACGCAACCATAGCCCGCTCCGTCCCACCTACGGATATGGGTGCGTGTTGTTCGTTCGTCAACTATGGAGACGCCAAACCGACACCCAAGCCCTTACAACGGGCGGCGACGAGGCAGTGACGGCGCGGCGACGGCGACCACGGAGCCGCAAGACCGACGCCCAGGCCCAGCTCCTTAGACAAAGCGTAAGAGACGCCAAGTGCAAGCACGGTTTGAGGAACAACAGGAACCCGTTGGAAAACGCTCCAAAGACAGCAGAAATCTGGGATCCCTTGGAAAGCATGGAGAAGCTACAAAGAGTCGATCGGACTGCCTCGCGTCAAGAATCCCCTAGAAAGCGCTACAAGGGATCCGGTTGAAAAGCCTCATAGTTAAAATAGCATGGAAAGCACTGCAAAGGCAATATGCTGGAAGGCATCGCAGCATGAATCCATGTTAGCACACCCCAAATGAAATTTGATTGGAAAGCCACACAAGTGGAAAGCAATACGAAGGGACTACATTGGAAGGCCTCACATCAAGAGTGTCTCCTCCCCATTCATCTTCCTTAATTCCCTCATCCTTGAGAGGAGTGAGAGGAGTGAGAGGGGGAGGGGGAGGGGGAGGAGGAGGAAAAGGAGAAGGACGAGGACGAGGAGGAGGAGGAGAAAGAGCGAGCGGGAAGAGGGGGAGGAAGACGACGACGCTAGAGCATCAAAACAATACAAGAAACCAAACACATACACAAACAAGCAGACGAACAAACAAAAAACAAAGGATGCGTAGCGCTGGCGGCAGAAACGTCGAGATCACTCTCAGGAAAACTGAAACACCATACAATACAAATCTCAGCGACGACCTCAACGTCCGATGGGCGACCCCGCTGTGATGCGGAGTTCCACGGCAGATGGTCGCGAACACCCTCAGGAATCATAACCAAAAAAGAGAGAGCGAGAGAAACAAACATAAAATCCAAGGCGCTGGCAACAGAAACTTTGGGAGCACCCTCAGGAACCCCCATCCCGAAACAAAACAAACCACTAACAACTAAAAAACATAGAATGCGAGATCGCCCTTCGGACGCTCGGGTTTGTCGCTGGAATCGGTTGAATGTTTTTGTTGGTGTATGTGTTCTCTGTTGTCGCTGCCACCAGCGCTTTGGGTGATTTGGTTGATTCGCTGTTCTTTGTGAAAATGTTCCCAAACAACTGCAACTCATTTGGACTCCGCCTCACAGCGGGGTCGTCCATCGGATGTGTTCTGGTTCTCTTGAAGGTGCTCCCAAACATGTTGCCACCTGAGCTTTGGACTATTTGTTATGGTTTGTTTTTCTGAGGGCGTTCCCAAAGCCCAGGCCATCCTCCAGAAGGATGGAGCGGCCGAAGAGGAGAAGGAGAAGGCGGGAAAGAAAGAACAGGAGAAGGAGCCAAAGGCGGATGATGATGATGATGATGATGAGACAAAGGAAGAGGAAGAAGAGGAGGAGGAGGAAGAAACGAAGGAAGAAGAGGAGGAGGAGAAGGAAGAAACGAAGGAAGAAGAGGAGGAGGAGGAGGAGACGAAGGAAAAGGAAGATGGGGACGACAAGCAGGAAGGAGAGCGGCAAAGAACAGCGACCGAGGCAGGAGCTGCAGGAAAACAAAGCGCGCGCTGGAGTCCGCCGGGCCCGCTCTGCACCCCGAGGCCCCCCCTCCTGGCGGCGCGGTCCCCCCCGCCCCGCTGGAGGCCACCCCCTGCCCCCCGCCCCGCTGGAAGCACCGTGACCCCCGCGTGGGGGGCGTCCCCCCCCTTGGGTGGTGGCGGCAGCGGCAGTCGGGCCTGTCCCCCTACAGGAGGATTTTGGACAAAAAAAAAAAAGCAAACACCCCCCCCAAAAAAAAATCCAAACATAGTCTGGGGTCGATGTTTTGAATATGGTTTGACCTTTGGGAGGCATTTGGGGGGTATTTTTAATTTTTCGTCGAAAATCCCCCTGCAGGGGGACACGCCCGACTTAATCCTTGGGTGGTGGCGGCAGCAGCGTCGTCTCCCTCTGCTCCGACTGGGCCTCCAGCGCGCTCGGGGCCCCCCTCCCCTCCCGAGCCGAAAAAGGGCCGCGCAGGAGGCCGCCGGCGGCCTCCGTCGGCCTCCTGCGGGTTCTCCCCCGCGGCCGGCTCCTGTGGCGCTGGGGGCTGGGCGAAGGCAGGCGAGGAGGGGGAGGAGGAGGAGGAGGAGGAGGAGGAGGAGGAGGAGGAGGAGGAGGAGGAGGAGGAGGAGGAGGAGGAGAGGAAAAGGAGGAGGAGGAGAGGAGGAGGAGGAGGAGGAGGAGGAGGAGGAGGAAGAGGGAGGAGGAGGAGGAGGAGGAGGAGGAGGAGGAGGAGGAGGAGGAGGAGGAGGAGGACGGGCGGGAGGAGCCTCCTCGGAGGGCCCAGGAGCCCAGAGCTTCGCTCACTGCGTTCACGTCTTCACCGGGTCCGACTCCGCTGAATACAGGAGGCCCGACACACCAGACTCGTGAGCTTATTGACTGAGGCTCTCCTGGGAGGCTCCATGGAGGCTGCTCGGGAGGCCACCATGGGGGCAACCACAACCGCTGGGCTGAGGAAACCCGCCCTCGGCGCCCTCCCAGGGACGGCCCCGACCCCCAGCGGCGACGACCTGCGCGCGGCGCCCGTTGCCGAGTGGTCCGCACGCAGGTCGTCGCCGCGGGGAGGCCGAGGTCGGCCATGGAGGGGGGGGAGGGGCTTAGCGGGCGGCTCCCGCAGCCCAGCGATCGTATTTGTCCGTCCCTCACCCATGAGACTATACGGCAGAAAACCAACCCCAATAATAATCACCCCGGCACGCGAAGCCGTTTAGCAAACGCCCCCACGCTAGGAACCGAACAGGGCAGGGTTGTGTAGTAAATGCCCAGGGCCATCCAATAAACGCCAATCATCAGGTCCGGGTGGTGTTTCTCCCTTAAGAAACGGGCAAAGGAGAGGGCATTGGGCGACGATCAACAACGGGTCCTACGCGAGATGGCATAGGGACCTTACGCGGCGGCTTACGCGGGCCGCCAGCGCGGCATCCTACATTGGAGACGCGCGCTTACGCGTGACCTTACCCGGGCGGCTCACGCGCCAATGTCGGCGCAGACGATCCCAATTTTTCCCCGTCGTTGATGTTTCTACCGTCCTGAAAGTAAACGCCCCACAGGAACGGGCATCGAGCAGGGCGTGGCTCCGGGCAGACGCCGAGGGCCTCTCAACAAACGCCAGTCATGGACGGCGGGGTGGCTTTTCCCGACTCGGCACTTGCCTCTGCATTGGAAGGAACAAATATTGCGGCACCTGGCACTCTCGCGCGGGGCAGGTTCCGTCACCGGGTGGTCGCAGTCCTTGATGGACCTGGGCAGCGGGGACCATGATGTTAGGCCCGGGGCACGGGGCACGTCGCAACTGCGGGGGCTGCGACCAACTGCCGCATCCTCAGGCAAGCGCTTAGGCGGTCATAGAGAATGAAATCCACACGCCGCATCCTTAACTCGCCCCCGCACATCACGTCGCCCCCCCTGGCCCCCCTTAGTGACCCCGTGAAAATTGGGCCTGGTAGCAAACGCAGGCGTCGCACATCCACTGCGTCGCGGGGACTTGCGCCCCGCCCGAAGGGCGCCCGGCTGGCCCCCGTCTGCGCCGCGGGCCACGGGGCCCTGCCAGTCCTATCACGGTCGCGGGTCGCCGCGGCCCCGTCGCGGAGGGACTTGCTGGCCTGGGTCGCGCGAAAATCGCGGGCGGAGCGGCCCCTCTTTGCGGCGCGCGCCGCCCCGGGACTGTCAGTAACCACGGGGGCCAGCTTTGCTTGGGTTGCGTCGTCAGCGGTCGCAACGTCGCTTCTCGCTGCTGGTTCGCATGGAACGACGCGGGGGGGGGGCCCGCTGGAATCGAGAATAGCCCGCCTCGCCCCCCTCGCCCTGGCACTCGAGCTCCTCGCGGCGGGCCCACGGCGAGCAAGAGCTGTCGGACATGTTGGCCCCCACTCCCACGCGCGCCGGCGGGCCTTCTCTGCAGCGACGCCGTCGTCTCCTCGCGCCCCCGCGGGTGGCGCGCCCAGCTCGACCGGGATGACCTCGTCGATTCGCCGCCCGGCGGCATGGGCCCCTGCCCCGAGGCAATCGGCGCGGGGCGGTCGTAGTCGATGCAACCAGATTGCCCCGCCGACGATTCATTTGTCGATCTGGAAGTTCTGGCCCTCTGCAGCTCGCGGCGACGCCGCGCCCCCGCGCGCGTCTAAATCCGCGGCCGCCCCGTCGCTGCGCGGCCGCGTTGGCCGGGCCCCCATCCACTTCGGAAGCCCGCGTCGGCGCTGGCTCGGCAGGCGGCATGCACGCACACGGCGCCTCATCAACGGTAGATATCTGCACGGAGTGGGTCTTCTCGATCGCGCCGACCATCTCTACGTTGTTCGGACACCCCTGCGTGAGTCCAGCAGCGCGTCGTCAATGATGGCGCTCATCCGTTGCCACCTCGGCGCGCCACTCGCGCGCCTCCTTCCAGTTCCAATCAGTCCGCCTTCTGCTGCTGGTAGATCTGCACATCGCGTTGTCGCGCCTCGATTTGTCCCGCCGCGACCATCTCCGCGCGCTAGAGGACGAAACGCAGTTGCCCTTTGGCGCGCATAGCGTTGCGGCGCGATTGCTGACAACGCGCATTCACGTCGTAAGTACGTCCTAAAGGCATTGATCGCGGCACTGGGCCTGCCCCGGCGACTCGTTCGAGATCGGCGACACTTCTTTTGGCGAGATTCGCGGACGCCCCGGACCGTCGCCTCCAAGTGCGCTTCCTGGCCACGTAGCTCGCCCAGGGCGCGCAAGCGGCCATCCTCCGCACACCCCCATTTACGGCGGTGCACGGCGCGGTCGTAGCGATCGTCGAGCCAGTGCGCTTCAACGCTGGCGATGCGCTGCGCGGCCTCGTCGGCCACGCGGAAAGATGATCACCTTTCATTCGCCCGCCTGTCCGCCTCTCGTAGGTGTTATTGCATGTTCCGTTTGGTTCGTTCGTTGTTGTTGTCGGTCGGCTTTTGCTGCGCGGCCCTGAGCTCCCTCCGCAGTCTGTCTGCTTCTACGCGGTCGCGATTTTCAAGCGTGTGCCTCGCGGTCATCCCCAGCGCCTCGAGCCCATCATCCTCTGCCGCGCCCCCACGTTGCGCGAATTCGCGGTGACCGGCCAGCGTTTCGTTCGTCGGCTGAGCACCGTCGATCTCAATATTCATCTCGCGCTGACAGCAGCGGTTCTCTTTCGCCGCGTTCCTGCGCGCGCTCTTCTGCCGCGCGCGGGCCTTTTTCTTAAGGGCGCGGATCTCGTCCTTGGCGTCGCCCTTGATCTTCCTGACGCCATGGGGAAAGTCGCTGGTTGTCCTCTGTCAAGGTCCTGAATGCAATGCCAGCGCCTTGGCCATCAGCCGTCTCCCCCGCTTTTGTCTGCCTTTGGGGGGCTGGCGTGGGCGCTCTTCTTTGCGCCGCCCCCCATCCGTGGTTTTTGTCGGCTTCGTCGTCGGCGGCACTTGCGTCACTGTAGATGTCGCCCCGGACGATGCTGACGATGCTGATGTCGTCCCGGACGATGTTGACGACGTTTCGCCAGCAGGTTCCTGCATTTCTCTAACTCGCCCTGGCGGGTGCGCCTTGGCTCGCTCGCAATGGTATCGCATGGCCCGCCAAGCGTTGTCTGTTTTGTTTGTTTCTGGCCTGTTGGGCTTTGATGAAAGCAATCTGGGCGACTGCATCTGCGGCAGGTGGACCTGCAGCACTGTTTTTCGTTATGGTTGCGGCCGGCCGCTTCTGCTCGATGAGCTCGATCTGCTTCCGGTCGTTTCTGAGCTTTGGGTCGTCGTGGCACCTCCCAATCGGGCCTTCGGGTCGCCGATATTTCCCGCGCCCGCATGACTTGGTTGATTATGTTGACGGCGTGGCCGTTGCAGTCCTAGGCAGTATCTTTTGTTCGGGGCGCCTTGTCGTGATCGGGTTGCGCCTTAGTTGTCCCTTTGCCCTTTCTGGTTGCGGCTGTCGGGCTCGATGGCGTCGTCGTAGGGTTTGGGGAAGGTTCCCTTACCCTTGCCGCTGTTGCCTGTGATGTTGTAGCCCTTGTTCCAGAATGTGTCGGGGTGGTCGTTGGCCGACTGTTCCGCCCACTCAATCCTCCTGCGCTCAAGGCCCGCTCCAATCGCTGGTGGAGTGGGGCCTGGTGTCGGCCCTCTGCTTGGATTGCAGCTCGAAGTTCATCTCCCGGGTTGTGGCGTTGTCCCTGAGCCACTCGCGGTTGATACCCGTGGCGCTGCCATTGCGGGAGCTTGAGGTGGATGTCGCGGTGGTTGTTGTGCGTTTGGTGCGCCTGAAGGAATTGCCACGCTGAGTCGAGTTGGCGCTGGGCGCGCTGGTCGAATAGGTCGCGAGCTGATGCTACCCGTTGCATTGTGCTTGCTAATATTCGTCGTTCGCGTTGTTGGCGATGCCAAGCCAGGTTGGCTGCTGATGTCGTGGCCGCGGTGGCCGTGCAAGTAGTGATGGTGCGGCGCACGATGCTGGTTGTCGGAGTCGAAGTAGTGTTCCCCGTGGCCTGGTGACCCAGCAATTAGTACTGTCACCTGAAAGGTTAAGATGCCTGAGCAGCGAGAGAAAGGAATGGATGTAAGAGTGCGAAGGGATGGATGGGATGTAAGAATGAGAAGATCAGTATCCTGGTACGTGGCCGCTTGGACGGAACACTGCCAATGACACGCTGCAATGTCTTGGCGGTTTGTGGTGTCCTCCTCATCCTCCCCCTCCTCTTCCTCCTCCGCCTCCTCCTCTTCCTCTTCCTCCTCCTCCCCCTCCTCCTCCTCCCGTGGGGAAACCAAAAGGGCACCGATACCGCCACTCCCTGGACCTCTCCCAGGGTGCGGTCTGACCAGGATTTCGAAGCGAATCCAGCTGTGGCGACGAGGGGGCCTCCTAGGAGGCTCAAAAAGGGAGAAAGAGGGAGGGGTAGCGGTATGGGTACTTTGTCATACTTTGATCCCTTAATCCTTTGATCCTTTGATCCTCCTCCTCCTCCCCCACATCCTCCTCCGCCTCCTCCTCCTCCGCCTCCTGTTCTTCCTCATCCTCCTCATCCTGTTCCTGCTGATCCTCCTGTTGTTCTCGGATGCAACGCCCACTCGGCTCGG